CTAATATTTGTATAATTATGTATGCAATTCTCTTAATAAAGGATTTTGGCAAGGCTGCCAAAGAGTTAAAAAAAAAAAAAAAAAGGTAATTACTTGAACATATCCTAAGATATTACTAATATTAATAATTATAAAATATATAATAAACTGATTTTATCTATAAAATCTATCTAATTTAGAAACTAAAATATTACTAATTTAGATATTATATATGATCTTCATATTAAAAAGCTTATTTTAGCAATTTTTAAGTTAATTTTTGAATAGACATATAATTTTATATATATTCTATTCAATTTATTTAAAATTGTTTATATGTAAGACATTTTATATAACAAAATATATATTTTTAAAAGTTAACCAATGTTAATCTAAAGAATTGGCTAGTTCTACATAAACCTTTAGCTTCTTAGAAATCTCTATTTGCTTATCTTGACTTTTATCTTCTTTTGTTTTTTTACTTTTATCACCAATTACTTCAAATGCTTCTGGTTGATCAAATTCTTTTTGTCAAATTTAGAATTAGTATTAGTTTCTATTATTTTAAATTATAACAATAAGTGCTGCAAAAATAATCTAATTATAGAAGAGAAAATCTTGGAGGTAGGCATATAACTTTCTTGTGCAATGTAAAAGTACCAAATCGGGTTTTGGTTGTGCCTATATGGAAGTTTATGATGAACAAGACTAGAGATCAACCAACCAATGTAAGATAAGATCTGCAAGGTAGTATGGCATCACTGGGGTCAGTGTAACTTTCTGGACATAATCAAAATTGTCTTGCAAGTATTGTTGAATAAGCTAGAAGCTTGCAATACATAGTAGTATGGTATTACTAGGGTTAGAGAAACTCACTAAATATAATCAGAATTGTCCTGTTTGTAAGTGCAACAAGTCCTAGTCTTTACTATAAAAGAAAGCACCATGTTGGAGATTAAATGCAGTATTGAGTTACTGTATAATGTTAAGACCTAGGGCATCTGCAGGAATGGTGGCAGCAGGTTTGGCTTGAGATACGAATTGGTCAAAAAGACCAATAGTGGCAGCAAATCTGGTTTGAGATATGGGTTCATTGCAGATTCTGGACCATTGTCAGAACACCTTAAAGGAATCAATAACAGGCAAACCAAAGATGGGAAGATCATAAGAATCAGACATACCTGAGTAGGACCAATTTAGAAGTGATACAGTGACAAAAAAATAGGAAATGTAGGGAACAAGGTAATACTAGATATAGTTAGATTAGAAGGCAGAAGAAACAAAACCAGATAAAACATGTGAGTGGAACATATAGGTATGATTTACAGAAGACAGTACCTCTGACATTTGGGATGCTGCATTAAGTTTGGTAGGTATTCTTGTCTGTGTAGTGGTTTAATATGTGCTATAACCACAAGTGGTTGCTAAGGTAACTGCATGCAGGCATGTGATGGACATGCACTTAGGTGCCATAAGAGTAACTGGGTGAAGTCAGTAGTGTTAAATTAGATAGTATATAGTACTAGTAATAATCGATCTTAAAATATAACTGTAAATTTGTACTATATCAAAAAATTAAGCTAATAAAAACCAACTGGCATTGTCGCCAAAGTAAAAAAAAAATAAAAATAAAAATAAAGATTTATTGTTTCTTAAATTAACAAGATATTTGTTAGTTAGTTTGAATGCCAAGTGTAATTTAGTTGCTTTAAGAGAATAAGCTTGATATGTTTTATATATAATATAAGTTTTTGGTATAATTCGATTTGCAACTTTTTTGATTGAATTTAATTATTTATTTCAAAATTTATTTAATTACTATAATATTGTAATATTATAAATCAGATGTATCAACTTGATTTTAGTTTCTAGTATGTTAGTAAAGTCTTCCTATATATTTGTTAATATTTGATAATAAAAATATATATATATATATTTTTTTTGAATCAAAGTATTTTTAGTTGAAAGTTAGTATTTCAAGTAGTAGTAATTATTTTATAATTACTGTCTATAATATCAACAGGATCAATGATTAAAAATAAAATAAAATTTAAAAAAAATTTAAAATTAACTCATATGTCATTAATTTAACTTTAATTTGAGCCTTTTTGTTATATAGGTTTAGTTATAATATAGAATTCTAATAAGCTTATAAATAATATTAATTAAAATATAAAGAATAAGTTTACTGATTATTTTTGTTAATTGAAGTTGTTGTTAAAGTTTTCTATTATAATTATATACCAATTATAATTTCTTGCTTAAGTTAGCCAATTTATAACTATGTTTTGTATAGTTTTAAGTTGTTTAAAATAGTTAAAGAAAGATATATTAAAATTATATAGAGTTTGTTGTTAGTGGAAAGATAAAAATCAATGCATATTGTAGTGCTTATAACAGTTTGTATATTGAATATAAAAGATTAAAATAAGTTATAAAGCATTATTGCAATTCTTATACTAGCTTTATATTGAAAGTTGTCTTTAGATATAAAGTTCAATATATAGATTTTATATAGAGGATTAGAGAGTTTGATGAAGAAAAATTTTTTTAGTTTAGTTTCTATAATAGAGACTATGTAATAATTATTTTTGACACAATATTCAAGTCAAATTTGCAATTTTAGTAAATCATTAAGTTTTTGCATATTATGAATAACAATATTAAAATAATTCTTAATATTTATAATAAATTATTTGTAAAAGTATTTAGTGTTTTAGTTGAGTTGTTGTTATCTGTTTAGTAAGATAGTAAATCAGGTCATAATTGTATAATACTTATGGTTGTGAAGAGTAGTTATTAAAGATATTCTAGTAAAGATCAAGTAGATTAAGAAATTCAAAAAGTTGTAATAATAATCCTTGAAAGGAAAAATAATTGTAAAATTAAGAGATATTGTTAGCTATCTGTTTATATATTGTTATTAGTAGTTGAATTGTTTAAGATTGATCTAGTTCTTTTAAACATGTTTGAATTTTAAGTAGGCTTAAAAAAAGTTTTGATTTAGTGTTTTCTTTTTTTGTTATGTTTTTAATTAAGATCTATTTTGCAAATAATACATTATATATATTATATTTAGAATTTTGTTAATTTTAGCAGGTTGCAATATCGCAGCTGCGATATCATGATTGTGATATCACAGATCACCACATGTTTACCTAAATAAAAAAAGAATGGGTTTTCTGAATAGCTTGTCAGAAAATTAGTGGTTACCAGATTTAGTAACAAACAAGTATAGAGATCATTTGCATAAATAATGCAATTAAAAATTCATAAAAAAATGATTTTTAACTTTGTCATAATTACATATTAAAATTGCTTATCTTACCTCATTAACGTATTGTTTAATTCGATCTATACGTTCTCATATCTGCAAGTTGTTACAATTATCCTATGATGACCATGTCAAATAATGTCTTTAGTTTTTCATTTTCTGATATATATCTTAATGCTTGTAATAAAGAACAAGATGGTAAATTAATAGGCATGATAGTCAGAATTTTAATTATCATATCTGATGTCATATACTAACTTTGAATTTTCATAGTATTCTTCATTTCACTCGGTCTTTTCTTTTCAAACTTTGATAACCTAAACCTCCTTAATAACTGCTTTGATTTTTATAATCAAACACTCTTCAATCATTTTAATAGTAGTCAGATAACTAGTGAATTCATACAAGAACAGTGCAGTGATTACCAAAAAATTATGCAACCATCCTCTAAACACCAAAGTGATGAAAAATTTGATCGTGATGATGAAAATAATTATAGAATTCAAGTTGGTGCCATTTTTCCAAACTGGGAATCTCTTGAGAATGCATTAAAAATATATGAGCTGGAGGTTGGGTTTAAGGTGATAAAATTTTGAATGAAGTATGATAATAATGGCAATATAATTTGCTGATACTTTGTCTGTGAGAATTCCAAAGAGCATCAATCTAAAAAAAATATCAATGATGTGAATTATAGGAAAAGAGAATCTAAGAAAGTTGAATGCCTATAGCAACTTAATGCAAGATGCAGGAAAAACATTGATGCCATAATTATTAACAAACTTATTGAAGATCATAACCATTCTCTCGCACCATATTAGAAAGAGTTTGCTCCAAGTCTACATTCACTTTCATAAGAAGTTCTCGATGATATAAAGTTCTTGACTCAGGAATGCAATCTTGGAACAAAAGCTCAACACCGATATATTTTAAAAAAATATCCTAATCAGCCTCTATTTGATCATGATTTATATAATGCTATACATTAATATAAAAATCAAATGGGCAATATATAAGAAAATGATGCGGCAGATATGGTTAAGTGGCTCATAAAGCAACAGAAGCAAGAGCTGGGATAGGCAATTTATATAGAGTTTGAGAGAATTAATAATAATCTTTCTAAACTTTTTTGGATATCACTGATGCAAGTAGATTTATGGAAGTGATACCATGATGTGGTTGTTAATGATAATTAGTGATTTGAACCGGTTGGGCTATAATCGGTTAACTGACTCAACCTGAATAAATTTCGGATAACTGGTTAAACAAATTTTTAATCAGTTGATCCAGTACAAGCGGTCAAGAATCAGGTAACCAGTTGATAGGATCGATAAAGTATGTAAATGACCAAGAAAGAGCAAAGATTCTGGAAAAAAACTGAATGAACATAAGAGACGAGCAAGGTTAAACCAAAAATTTGAGTAAAGCTCTGAAAATTTCCAAGGTAAGAACAAGAAGTAGAGATTATTAATCTCGACCAGTTGTAATCGGTTGACATAAAATAATTCGGTTCAGTTAACTGATTGAGTATATTTTTTTGGTTCAATTCACTAATAATAATATCACAAAAACCAATGTATAAAATATGCTACTAAATCTTTTTGTAATTGTTGATAATTACCATCAAACGAGGCTTGTAGCACAGTTGCTTGTTCAGGATGAGACTATTTGCTCATATGAGTGGATATTAGAATGCATATTAAAAACAACAGATAACTTACCTTCAAAAGTTATTTTTACCGATGCTGATTCTGCCATAATTTCTGCCATTAGTCATATCTTTCTTACTACAAAACATAACTATTACATCTTTCATATCCAAACAAACATTGCAAAAAAATTATCATATAAATTTGGTAGTTCCTACAAAGATTTTCTACAAAGCTGGTTTTAATATTATAATAGTCGTAGCGAAGTGAAATTGGAACATTACTGGAAAGAATTGTTGACTAATTATCCTGCAAGTCAAAGTTATTTAAAACAACTTTGGAAGTCTTGATGATCATGAGCTAAAATCTATGTGTTTGCAACTTTTTGTGCTGGAATACAAAGCACATAACAGGTCGAGAGTATAAATAGGCTTATTAAAGCTGAGGTTGGTGCCAAAACAACACTGCTTAATTTAGACAAAGCAATTTAAATGAAGCTTGAATGTGAAGTGCAATACCAACGACTTTCAGAGTATAGAAATGCATTGTCAACCCAAGGACTTCCAAGCATTCATAGTATGTTTTTTGATCCAGTTCAAAATGCAATCAAAAAATATTTAACATTAAAATCTGCCTCTGTTCAAAATATTCAAATATCGCAAGGGTGTAGTGACCTAGTGAAGTGGATAAGTTGTCAACTCTCAAGTAGCAGGTCTAAGATTCAATTGCCACAGATGATGAATTTTGGAAATTATACTTGTGTTATGATAACTGTCTCTTGCTGATCAGTTGGGTTTTGGGCATCTGTAATCTTAGGTACACCAAGTCAGGTTCCACCTGACATTGGGAGCTTGAGGCATCTATGCGAAGTGTAATGTTACACAGTATATGTACATAGAGGAATGTAAAACCAGTGTCGTATAAGGCTTCGGGCAAACCCATAATAAGACCACTGAGCATAGAAGGCTAAGAAACCGAAGAGATGGAAACTCACTTAGAAATCCTGAGTAAAGAGGTAGCACAAACTTTTAATAATGCTATTGGACTGATAAAAGCTCATGAAACACCTTCATAGGAACTGATTAGATAAACTGGATGACAAAGATGTGTAGAGAAGCACATGACCAACCAGGCTGCCAGAATCGCCAAAAAAAAAGGATACATAAGTATACTATACTGGGCCATCTGGATTGGAAGTCTGATAAATCGAGTTGCAGCTAGTAGGGGATGATGGAGAAGAAGTTGAAAAGATGGGTACCATGGGTTGGATGAACTTTACAAGGGTAATAGTGGTTTAAGAGATAACCCTAACTGCAAGTATTGGCCTCAGCCATAGCATCAAACCAGATTAGCAGTAAAAGGGAATATGGTTTGCTCTGATAGGTTTACCTTGAAGATAAAAATAGTCTAAGGATTATAGTCTATGGTCGATAGTAAATAGATCTGAGTCTGTAACCTGGTAAAATTAATACTAGGGTTAGATTAGAGGGTTTAAATAAAACACCTAAGCAAGGGTGTTAGGTACAGCAACTGGTGGGGAACCCTCGGGCAGACTCCTTAAATAGGTAATATAGAAAAGTTACACGTGTAGCCAGTTGTACACTCGTCTAATAGTTCATTATAGATATGTCTATATAAAACATGTACCTACTATAAGTATTAATAAAAAGCTCAGACCAAAGAGGTCATCTTAATATTGAAAAAAAAAAATATTCAAATATCGCAAAGTGTTCTATATCATGCATTTTTATTTGAGATTCCAAATGAATTAACTCTGGTATTGTTCATTAATTTATTATTTATTAATTATTAACAAGAGCTTTTAATTGGACTAATATCTTTTTATTAGCTTCCTGATGCTTATGAATATATAAATAAGTATCTTGAGGATGAATATGATGCACTACAAGCTTCGCTTGAAAATCTTATAAATATAGTTAATCATGAAAATATTCTTGAAATTTGGAGAGTTTTTTTATTTGATCAATATAGTCATAACTATCCTCATTATATTATTCTTTTAAATGATAATACATATCTTTGCACTTGCCTTTAAATTATTTCTAATGGTTTTTACTGCAAACATTTCTTTAGTGTTTTTAAGGCATCTCACAATGCAAAATTTGACGTTAAACTTATATCAAAACATTGGTACACCAACCCAATGCAAGCATTAAATTATTCTGTAATTGAAGGCATAGATAATGTAGAATTCGATGAAAATGAAGAAATGAATCAATTAATTTCTATCCATGAACCTGATATGTATCAAGCTAGCATTCATACTAGCATTACACAAAAACAAAAATATGTGTATGGTTTTGGTGTAACTAAAAGTTAATTAAAATTTGCTCTTGAGAATAAATTGGTTGATGAATTTGTAAAATTGATAGAGAGATTTATTGAAATCACACTGGTGTTAATGTTAATAATCAAATGACAATTGATGTTACTCATATCGAAAATCCAAAAAAGTTGAAGCACAAAGGATGTCCAAAGATGCAGAAATCTTCTAAAAATGTTCAAGATCTCACTGCAAGAAATTTAAATGAAAGACAAAACTTAAATGTTCAGCAAGATAAATCAAGCCAAATGGTTGAAACAGATACTGAAGATGAAGAGTTTGAAGAAAGTTCAAGAGAACAAGATAGTGAAAATTATACTTCAAAATCAGAGACTCATCATTGTGGTAATTGTTATGGAACTAGACATTATGCCACTACATGTAAATTCCCTAAAGACCATTTTAGGTAAATTATTATATAGGGTTCAGATGTGCAAAAAGATTTTTAATGGCCTACAGTATTTGTTGAATAAAATGTGACTTGTAGTAAAAATTGCTATATAAGTCATTATAAGAGCAGATATATAACTGTTGTACTTTTCGTTTGTCATATATATATGTATACATAATAGTGAATTACTATTACTGTTACAATTGCCATAACTAATTATAGCAAGTTATAATATCTATGTACTTGTAAAACTTTTTATTTTTAATCTCTTGAATGGTATGTACTAGTAGTAGCTTCTCTTGAATATCTCTCATTATAATATTTTGTTCTTTGTATTTTCTTGTTCCTGTGATTCTCATAGACCGTTACTGTTAGATAGTTAGAGACAGAAAGAAAAAGATCTTTAGCAGTCAAATTCATTAAATGCCAAACATAAATAAAGTAAACTCTTGATTAATGTCATTGTCATTAATAATAGCAATAGCTCTTTTACATAATTTCAATCATGATTCTGTGACATGTGATCCGAATTTGAAAACCGAACACTGATTGAAACCCAGACATACCTCTAAGCAGTACATTAGGCATTAGTGAATAGGGCTGATAAGAAAGATAAAAGAAATTTGAATTTAACAGTAAAGAGTTAGAATACTCAACTGCTAGGCCTAAGTGTTGTAGCAAACTGAATATATCCTATCTTAGATCAAGTTATTACATGCAAATGAAGCCTTCTATTTAAGATGTAGAAAGAAGATTTTATTAGCACACATCAAATTTAAGGATTGTAAACTTTTGATAATGCATTTGGTAAGTGTTTCATTTGAGTGATCGATGTTTTTTTTTTGAAAAAACACATATTGGGATGACTTTTCCTTGCATATATTCAAATTTGACTCCTCTTTATTATATTATTTATTGATCATGCCACTCTAACCCTTATACATTTTTATATGTCACAATTATCAAACTATATGTTTCCTTACACTATTTATAATCTATATTATAAATATAATTTGGTTCATATTTCCTAATTTCGATCGATCATAACTTTGAGCATGTGATATAATCATTCGAAATTATTCAAGACTAAGATGTGTACAGTACTAAATTTTAACACATCTTTCTCTATTGTTCTTTCATTCTGCATATATCCTGTATTAATTTCACTATATATCAATTTGATATTGATAACATAAAAAGTGCAAATGTTATGTATGTAAAATTAGAGAATTAACCAAGACAACCCATCAAAATTACGGGACACATAACAGCAATCATAATGCCACAATGGCACTACTACTATGCGTGATTGTCAATATCATGTATTATAAGTTGTTGTTAATTATTATAATCATGAACACTGTAGTAATATATAGCTAATATATTAATTCGCAGTTTATTTTTAGCTACATAAAGAAATTTAATATAGTGAATTTTTTATGCAATAGTGATGTATCATGTTGTAGTGGTGCTTCTTATACCATTTTTTTGCATATGATAATGCTTATCTATTTTATATTAGTTTGTACTATAAGCACAAAAAGATGCATTATATATAGTACCTGTATTGTTATTATTATTGTAATGGTAATGTTGATAATGTTTGGCTTTTTTGATCTTCCAAGCATTGCTAACAAAATTTTCAATTACGTGATACCTGACAAAATTTTTAAGTTTGATAATGTTAGAGTTAGGTCTATGTTAGGATTAAGTCTACGATAGAGTTAGGTTTATGTTAGATTAGGTCTATATTAGGGTTAAAATATAAGAGTTCTAATAGTAAAATCATTATTAATGCGCATAGTTTTTTGTGCAGATTTTTAATATGAAAGCTAGTATCTTATTAAGTAGATGACTTATAGTTAGTAGTCAAATTTTTGTACTCTTGAATTGTACGTAATCAATTATTATTACACAATTGAAGAAATTATTTATATTTGTTTTAATCATATGTTATACTAAAAGTTGCGATTTGACTGTTTTGTATAAAGTCACATGACCTGTGATATAGCAGGTTATGATATTTAACAAAATCCTATATTTATTATATTTATTTACTATTATATTTATTTATTATTAATTATATTTATTGTATAAATTATATTGATCAATCAATTTCAATCAACTCTCTCCTGCAGATCCCTTGACCAAAATTTCCAGGAAGCAAAATTTAGTAAAACTCAATAAATAGACTAGAAAACAAGACTTGAGATACTAACAAAAAAGACAGAGCAGCAAAAACTGCATATAGTTTAATAGAAAATACAAAGAGAAGCCTTGAAGCCAACAAAGAACAGCATATAAAATACTTTTTACAAAAAGAAAAAAATTTTTTTTTTTTTCTGAAAATTGGGGAATGCCAAAACCCTATACTGTAGATCCTTCAAGTTACACAAGAAACTGCACTAGTATAAGCAAAGTAAACAAACAAACACATACATCAACTAGCCTAATTCAGATACAACACGTGATATAAAAGCATAGAAAACAGTTGTATAACATGAATAGAAATCTGCCAGAAGAATACAGAGGAAGCCTTAATGCAATTTTTACAAGAAGGGCATATGAGGCAATGAATAG